AGGGACGTCCTATTTTGGTACCGGGACGTCAATCGGACGTCCCATGGACGTCCTAATGTCCCGTTTCCGTCCATCTTACCCAGCAAACACACTTACGTACATAAGACGTACTATGTACGTACTGATGGGACGTAAAGTACGTACCATGTACGTACTTTACTGTACGAAGTACGTACATAGTACGTACATAATACGTACATTTTCCAAAAGACGGTACGTACCTAGTACGTACTCTGTACGTACCTAATGTACGTACTCTGTACGTACATAATGTACGTACTCTGTACGTACTGTGTACGTACTTAATGTACGTACTATGTTTGTACTTATTCCAATAGAGTATATATTTTAGACGTACTTTACATCCTTATTGGTACTTACTTATGATGTATAATGTACGTATTAGTGCAATAAAAAGAAAAGTAAACAAGTTAATTTGTATTTATTTAATTTTTTACATTATAAGAATAATTTAAAATGTTTTGCTATCTTTTTGAAAGTTTTTAGGCTATCATCAGCTCCTCTTAGCCATCTCACAATTTCCTGTTCTACAAACTTCTTCTCTTTATATTTGTTACTTTTTATAGCACCTTCTGCAAAGAAATAATATCAAATTAGAAACTTAACTTTGGTACTTTTTATAATAAACAATATAATAAAAACAATACAACAAAAAGATGTAGAGTAAAGTAAGCGATAGTTTCTACAGCTCAAAGTTATCATTGTCAATATACTCCTGGATCCAAACCTCTCTTATTTGTATCCACCTGCCTTATGCCTTTGAAATCCAATTCGTTCCTGCCACTGTTCTATAATATCGGAACTCCTATATTTCTTTTTGTTAAGCTAGATCTCCATCAGTTTTGAAGTCCAATGGTTGGAAGTACACAATTTCATTAGATACAAAAATAATTGTGACTAGATAGATGGGTTTTAATGCAACGACTTTATGAAAACTGGCATGCAAAAATAAAAAAATAAAACATCTTACCCACTTCAACTGCAGCCAATTATAATTTGTTGCCAGCCAATTATAATTTGTTGCCAGCTTATTAGTTATTAAGGCACCAGCAATAGTCCTTTTGACAAAATCCAAAATTAAATTATTAGGGTCTGTAAAATATCACTTCTTTTGTCTAAAATATTAGATACCTCCTGTTTATTCATTTCCTTAAACTTTTTTAATTGTTTTGTAGCATTTTTGTAATGTTTACTATGGGATGGGATGACATATCTATAAATTATATTTATTACACATAATTTTTTAAAATTAAAATGAAACCACTCACCAGAATAAAATGACGAAACTACGTACTTATCACACGCACTAAAAAGTCTAAATAATTGTCTTGTTCAATTATAATAAATTATACACAACTATTTATTTAATGAAACACTTAATAGTTAAATCTTAAACATGAAAAACTAACAAAAACGAGCGTGTTTAGTTTAGAGTTTAGGTTAGGTTAAATAAATTGGGTTTCGTCTTTTTTTTGCATTTTTTGGCCTACGGTCAACAGAAATTTGGTAAAAACATAGGTTTTTTAATAAAATAGGTATGCAACCAGGATTACGTACCCTTAGGTACGTACTTAGTACGTACTTTTCTGTACGTACTGGTACGTACTGTTGTGTACGTACTTAAAACGTACATTTTACGTCCTGTACGTACAGTACCAAAACTGTACGTACTTAAGACGTACTGTGCTGTTTGGGTAGGGACATCCCAGAAGGACATCATCAAAAAAAAAAAACAGGAATGAATTAAATTTAACACACAGCGCTGGCAAGATGAAACTTTGGGTCCTACTTATAGCTTGTGTCGACATAACTGAGTATTATAATTTTGTCAAAATTAGTTTTGTTCCAACTTTCCGCCATTAAGGTATTTTCTTTCCGCCAGCGGCTACCGCCAATACACATCACTTATTGTCATCTCAACACAAAACACTCACAGCACTTTATAACCACTTTACCACCAACATCAAAAAAATAACAAATAACACTATATAACCTTCTTTTTTCTTCGTTGATCTACCTCACTTATATAAGTTAATTATTGAGTGCCGAAAATTGTAGCTGTGTTGTTCATTTAAAAATAAATGATAGGTTAGGATTTCTGTTGTCATACTCTTGCAAAAACAAAACGTTGAATTTCAAGTTATCGATTCAAAGACCAACGATGCTAGTACATAGAAAGTTCCATAGACGTCCCTTGGACGTCCCATTAACGTCCCGGACTCGGACCGAAAACTAAACGCTTTGTCGAAACGGGACCAAAATAGGACGTCCTTCTAAGGACGTCCTAGTGTTCACTGTAATCGGAAGTCCAGTGGACGTCCTATTAAGGTCCGGGACCAACAAGGGACCAAATCAGGACGTCCATGGGACGTCCTGTGCTATCTGGGATATTCTTCGTATTCTCTTCTTGCTGCGTTATCAATAACATTGATTAAATCGATTGTGAAACGTCGATGGTTAACAAAATCATCATGTCTTTTGGTTGCTTTAAATTAAAGTTAAAAGTTATCCATTGATCCAGGGTTTTAATTTGTTTTGAGGCCATTTTTTGTTTTTGTGTTGGCCTTCACAATTTCAGATATCTTTGTATGAAATAGTGTCCACATCTTCTACTAATACAGTACTTCTAAAAAAGTGATTCCAATCTATTTTGGAGAGGACTCTCTTTACGTTATTAAAATTTGTCGTCTGTCATGTTTAGAAAAAGTGATTATTTATTTATTTATTGAATATTCCAACAGGTTTTACAACCTAATTACAGGAATACTTATTTATAATTAATAGTTTACATTATATTTAAATAATTACCTATGTATGATCCTCACTCACATTCTAGTAAATAAAAGCCTAATATTAAATGTTATAAATAAATATATAAAAATTAATCAAATTAATAAAAATGTAGAAATGCAAGAATTTTACAGAAATTTTTCAGTCTACGCCAAAAATACTTATGTAAATAAATATTGTTTTCTTATATTGCTTCAGAGGTATCGTAAAGTCAATATCAGTAGTTGTGTTAATAATATTAGCTAGTTGCAACATGGCTTCCAGAGGAGAACAGTAACCCACTCTCATTTTTCCAAATAATTTAAAACGAGTGCTTACTGATGGGACTTTAAATGGTACTAAGTACAGTAAATCAGCAGATGATGCTATATTATTAATTAATTTGTATAGAAACATCATCATCGTTAACTTACGTCGACTTATCAGTGATATAATTTCAAATTCTTTGCGTAGTCTAGCTGTCCTTACAGTTGTATAATCCGACCAACGATGATATTTTTTAAAATACAAATAACCGATATACTTATTTTGCACCTTTTCTATCGAATCCAAATGCACCTGCGATTGATTACCCCAAATAACACATCCAAACTCAAGTTTTGGTCTTAAGGTATTGTACAACATATTTATTGTTTTTATTTTTGAAAAATTAAACGACTGCCTAAGGATGAATTCTAGTGTACGATTAGCACTTAACACTGATTTTTGGATGTGCTTAATAAAAGAAAGCTCGTTGGTATAGATTATTCCCAAATCCTTAACTTCAGCAGATCTAATTAAAGTCTCCTGACCAATGGTATAATCAAAATTTATCAAATTCTTTTTTCGAGAAATGGACATAACACAACATTTGCTCACATTAAAACTTAACTTATTTTCTATACTCCAATTAAATACATTAATCATATCCTTTTGTAACAACACACACTCCCTAACAGTTTGAATCTTTCTAAATATCTTAGTCATCTGCAAACAATAAAAATTTAGAGTATGAGACAAAGAAGAAATATCATTAATAAACATAATAAATAAAATTGGGCCTAAATTAGAGCCTTGTGGAACCCCTGAGTTCGCATAGAATTTCCCTGAAGTGTTTCCATTAAATTTCACCAAAAATTTTCTATTTTGCAGATAGCTACTCAAAAGTTTTAATAAATTAGCGGATAAACCAAAATTGTGCAATTTTTCTAGTAATATTGTGTGATTAACCTTATCAAAAGCTTTTTTAAAGTCCGTGTAAATGACATCTAACTGTGATTTATGGTCAAATACATTAGTTACCGATTCCGTGAACAATAATAAATTTGTATCGATCGATCTGCCTGAAACAAATCCATGTTGTTGGTCTATGACTTTGTTTTTAATGTGATTATATAAATATGAATGTAGAACCTGCTCAAAAATCTTAGAAGGAGCACACAAAATTGCTACACCTCTGTAATTTTCTATGTCACTCTTACTGCCCGATTTGTGAATTGGAGTGTAAGTTGACAGTTTCCACATTTCTGGAAAAGATGCAGACCGTAAAATTAAGTTAAATATATGAATTAACGGTATTTTTAAATACTCATTACAACCTTTTATAATATATGGCATCATGTCCAGCAGCTTTTTTACGGTTTTAATTTTTTTAAAGCCATTTTATAATCGTTCTCATCTATGTTAGGAATATTTAATATAGTAGTGTTTACTAAATTCAATAAATCAATATTATAATTTGCCTTTTCAGCGCAGTGAGTGGCTGCAAAATATTCTGCAAACTTATTAGCTACTTCTCCCTCAGGTATATCGTTACCATCCCATTTAAATTTATCTAATTGGTTACCATTGCCCTTTTTTTTATTAACAAAAGTCCAGAAATTATTTATATTTGAATCTATACTTTGTTCGATTTGCTGTAAGTATTTCTTATGTTCGACGTTTATTAACGATTTTACTTTTCTTCTTTATAAGACTACATGACAAAAGGCTTGGTGTCTGACATGGTCATCGATATATTAATTATATATAATTTATTTAACAAAAAACTGACAAAAAAAATCTAGAAATTTCCACCATTTTCCCACACAAGCCATTTGGCATATGCTTAGAAACATCGATTAAATGGAATTAATTATTTATTCAAAAAAGAGCTTACACAAAATCTAGAAATGTTTATAGAGGGTTGTAATTATAATTGAGCAATTTAGCTTCCTTCTATAAGTATAATAATGTGTTATCGTATATAAAAATAGAAAATCTCTAAAATAAACAAATATCAAAAATTACATTTAAATTTTTTGTTATAAAATCTCAAAAATAATATCAAAACAATTTTTTACCCTATAATTTACAAAACTAAAATCTGCGTTATATAAAATATGAAAAATAACAGCTGCGAATGAAAAAAATAATGCTAACTTTAACATAACAAGACACATTTTAAATTCATAGATGAATTACAAGCGTCTTTGTCATTGCAAGAACAATATTCTGTGCTACAGCTACATTACAAGTGTTGGTATATAAAAATAGAAAATCTCTAAAAATAAACAAATATCAAAAATTACATTTAAATTTTTTGGAATAAAATCCCAAAAATAATATAAAAACAAATTGTTTAACCTAATTTACAAAACTAAAATCTGCATTATATAAAATATGAAAAACAACAGCTGCAAATAAAAAAACACATGCTAACTTTAACATAACAAGACACATTTAAATTTATAGATGAATTACAAGCGTCTTGGTCATTGCAAGAACAATATTCTGTGCTACAGCTGCATTACAAGTCTTGGTATATAAAAATAGAAAATCTCTAAAATTAAACAAATATCAAAAATTACATTTAAATTTTTTGTCATAAAATCCCAAAAATAATATCAAAACAATTTTTTTAACCTGTAATTTACAAAATTAAAATCTATATAAAATATGAAAAATAACAGCTGCAAATGAAAAAAATAATGCTAATTTTAACATAACAAGACACATTTAAATTCATAGATGAATTACAAGCCTCTTTGTTATTGCAAGAACAATATTATGTGTTACAGCTACATCACAAGTGTGGGTATATAAAAATAGAAAATCTCTAAAAATAAACAAATATCAAAAATTACTTTTAAATTATTTGGTATAAAATCTCAAAAATAATATTAAAACAATTTTTTACCCTATAATTTACAAAACGAAAATCTGTGTTATATAAAATATGAAAAATAACAGCTGCAAATGAAAAAAATAATGCTAACTTTAACATAACAAGACACATTTAAATTCATAGATGAATTACAAGCGTCTTTGCTATTGCATGAACAATATTCTGTGCTACAGCTACTACAAGTCTTGACATTACATTCGTTTGGCCTACAGGTTTCCAATGCAACAAAATCAGTGCCTTCTTTCCATGTACATTCTCCATTATTGGTATTATTAAATTCATTTAAAAATGCACATCTTCTAATTGTCACTGTTTTCCCATTACCTGAAAGTATATTGTATTTTCAAACAATAAAATTTTATCCATATTTGTTGTTTATTACCTTTTTGAACAATTTTTAAACAAGTATGTGGATCTACTTCATTCCCTTGCCAATCATAAGAACTCACCAGCGAGCAATCTGACAAGACAACCGATACATTGGTAAACTGATCCCCACAATTTGGGTCCAGATCCGATCTACAGTCCCAGCATTTTATAGAAAAACCTGAATTTAAAAATAATAATTACAGATACAAATTAAGATAGAGGTTTTGCATTCTTACCTTTGTCAACAGAAATAGTTAGAAAAAGTGTGATAAAAATAAAAAACGTGCTTTTTAGAGACATTTTCTCTCCACAATCAATTCCAAAAGATAATTAAAATGTGATTAAAATTTTCTAATAATGTAATCTTTATTTTTAAATTAGTAGTCAAAACAACCTGAAGTAAGTGCCATATAAAGTTTCAAAACATTTTGTAATGAACTGCATACCTCTTAAAGTAAAAGGAACTATCTGTGCCTTTTACACTACATGTAATTTGTTAATATTACTAACAACGTGCTAACAACTGTACACTCCATGTTATAAAAAAAAGAAACAGAAGATTATAATAGTCTTTTTAAAGTTGTTGTTGTCGGTTGTGTTTAAATTTAGATTTTAGAGGGAAAAAAGTTTTTGCTTTTTAAAATGTGATACAATTTTTTTATTTTAATATTTTTAAAGAAAATGGCAACAATGACAGATAACCATCGTTATTTAATCCAATTCATGTTAAAAAATGGTGTAACAACTGTAGACAATGCACAGGAATACTGCAAATTTGTTAGCAAAGGTAAAAACTAGTGGAAAGCTTTCAAAACAATATTCCAGTTCTAAACTATTATTTTTAGGAGAAATTGAGGACATTAATATGTTGGAGAGGCTGGTAGCAGAAATAAATGGGACAATATCGAAACAATCGTTTAAATTAAAATTTTTCGTTTGTGAAGTGACAAATCAAAAAGTGTTGGTGTGGTTGAACACAAAGAACGATGATATATCTAAATTGCAAATAAAATTCTCACCAGTGGAATTGGAATATTTTCATGCTATACTTCAAGAACTTATCCATAATGAAGAACATCGCTTAACAACCATTGTTTGTATTAATATAACTTCTACACTTACCTCACATTTGACTAGAGAAAACGGTCAAAAATTACTGAACATATTTTTAAAAAATGGTTATTTTGTTGTTAAAGGTGCATATATCTATCTTGGACCCAGACTTATTTTAGAGTTTACCATTTACCTCAAAACACACTGTCCAGAGTCAGTTTGTACTCTGTGTTCGGAATTGGTTTTTTGTGTAAGTAATTTTTATTATAACCATTTTAGAAACGAATTTTTTGAACATATTGAATTTAACAAATTCTTTTAAGGGAAATATCTGCCATTCCTGTCGCCAAACTGCACATTCCCACTGCCTTACAAAATATTTAGAGATGGAAAGTAAGTGTCCTAGTTGCCAGGCTACCTTAGAAAGAATCATGGAAGTAGATGAAGTTGATGATTCGAGAACTACTCAAAATTGCAGAGAAGGTAGGTTAAAAAAAATAAATTAACATGAGCAGGTTTAGAATTTGCAATATCTATATAGGTACATGTCACCCTGGAACAATAAGATGTGTTTAATATGTATACACAAAGCGCTTAACGTGTTAAAAATATTAACGCCTGATATTTTTAGATGTTAATGAAGAAGTTCCTATGCAAAAACAAAAAAGAAGGCAACCTGTACCTACAAGAAATATTACGAGTGACGACAGTTCCTCTGAAGAAGACCCTAATGAACCGGGTCCAAGTACAAGAGGTCCAAGTACAAGAAGACGTCGCAGATAAAATGTTTGATAGATTTAAGATGAAAATGTATGCCTTAGTATTGTAAACAAGTACCTGTTGTACAAAAAGTGATGTAAAATAGTTTTTTTTTTGTATATACTTTTTAACAATAATAAACCTGATGTTTTAAAAAATATATGTATATATATATATATATATATTTTTATTGAAATAAAAAAGCTTGATTTCGACGGCTCGACAGGAAGCCTCGTCCAAAACTGAAATTTTTAATTAAAAATTAAAATTCCAAGTGCCTGGCTGACGTAGGCACTGACTAATTGTCTGCTAGTACACATACCATGAAAAAGAAGCAGAGAAATATATTTGACATTTGACTGGATCGTCCTGCAGGGTTGCCGATTTAGAGATTTTGTAGCTAGATTGGCGATTTCAGAGGGTCTGTTGCGTCTTTGAATTTGAGACGTGTTTCAAACCTAGCGTTTACCATAGATAAGTGCTGCGTTTGAGAATCCACATCGGATGCATCTGAGATGTAAAAAATCTTTGATCACGTGATTCAGTATACGTAAATGTAATGAGACAGATGTGTCCGATGTGGATAAAAAAACGCTCGAGATGTAAAAAATGCATCCGATGTGGATTCTCAAACGCAGCAATTGAGGAGGGGAGATAGAAACTGTCATTTCAGAAAACGTTTACACAAGAGGCGAGTTCGGGGACTGGAGCGGGACAAAAGCGGAGTTTTTTAGGATGCTTTTAAATGACATTTAAGCGTGTTAAACTGCTGTTACTAATCGGACTAAACCGAACGCTAAAAGGGTCGTTTGGAGTAAAAAGTGTTACAGGAACTTGGCAGGCCGAACGCTATAAAGGAGAACCTCCCGGGTGCGGAGAGTCTGCGCAGTTGAGTGTTTCCAGGATTGTACTCAGTTTTTTACTAATTCAATAAAAATATACATATAATTAAATGCAAATTACTAATACTTTTTTAATAAGAGGAATAAATAATTAAACCAGATTGTGTATTAGTTGAGATAATTTAAGTATAGCTAGTGCGGCGAGGGACGGCAAATTATTTGCGTTGGCGTTAAGGGGCAACTATACATAAATTTATATTATTCTCTTTAGATCATCTTCCGATGACATGAGACAGGTTACAAAATTAGTTTTACATTAATAACTAACTAAATTTCATAAGGTTAATTGAATACAACATAGGCATTCAAAAAACCATTCATCACATCATAGATAAATGAAATACAATATATAGGTACGTAAAAATATATTGAAATATTAAAAATTATTTAATTCATCAATTAAAAGACCCTTCAGGTACTATTTAAATTTTTGTATTTATTTTTTTCTTTATAAGTGCTTATGTAAAAAGTGATATACATACAGGGTGACACCGAAAACTTCCCAAACTAAATATCTTTCTTCCATTAAATAATGTGAAAAATCGCAAAATCCCGTCGATTTTATTTTCAAGGAGGACACCTACTAATGAATACTATTAACACTCGTGGCTCAACCTCCTAGGAGGGGTAGTTGTTACCCTTAAAATCTTAAATGGGAAAAGGGGTCAAGAGGCACATCATTTTAAAGGGCGTTTAATTCTCTTTCCAATGGTACCTTAATTTATTAGTTATTTATTAAACAAAAATTATTCTATCGAGTTGAATAACAGGAGGAATATCAAGTCTACACGTTTAACTTTTTATTTTTTTGGTAGGGTGACTTTTACAAAATAAATAACTTAATTTGCACAAGAAATTTTAAAAATAGAACACATAGGACCTACTTGTACACTATTTTAAAAATGTCCATTGTACTGTAAACAGTAAAAAGTCTGTTTCCCAACTCCTCTCTAACATTTCGGAAAACTTTTACCGGAAATAGACCGGCATGCTTCTGTAATTTTCCTTTTAAGATCATCAATATCAACAGGTTGTGTTTCATAAACAACGGATTTAAGGTGTCCCCAAAGAAAAAAGTCTAAGGGAGTTAAATCAGGTGATCTTGGGGGGCCATTCAATTGCTCCCTTTCTGCTAATCCAAGGGCCTGGAAAGATAAGAAAAAATGAGGTGTAGCAGCGTCCTGCTGGAAATTTAACACATCCTCCTGTAAAACTAAATTACCTTCTGAATCAGTTTGTTTCTAGCTCGTGAGTTTATAAGAGGATCAATAATCTCTTCAAGCATATTAAGGGACAGATCGCCTGGCAAGTTTCCTTCATTAAATAAAGAACCAATAATTGCGTATGCCCTTCTTGAATAATATGCGGGTGTTCGTCACTCCAGTATCAACATTTGTGTTTATTAATTAATAAACGTTGTCATTTAGAAAAAAATGAAGATTCATCACTGAAACATATATTCAGGAGAAGATTAGGGTTGGCGTTGACTTAACCAGACATGGTTTTACAAAACTCTATTCTTTTATCAAAATCATCTTCGTAGAGCTCTTGAAGTATCTGCATTTAATAGCAATTTTATGCATTTTCAGTGCTCTTCTTACAGTCTCGCGTGATATTCCCGTCTGTTCTGCTACTATTCGTATGGAACTAGTTGGCTCGGCAATAAATGTTCCCAAAACCTCAATTAGAGCTTCTTCATTTAGTACTCGTCGGTTATTTCTTTTCCTATTTTTCACCGAACCAGTTTCCAAAAACGTTGCTACCAAATCGAGAATATACCTCTATGACTTACATTACGATTAGGATGTATTTCATTTTAATGCTGCCCTTCGTGCGCATTTTCCAACCTCTTCAGAAAGGATAATTATTTCGATTCTTTCCTGTAGAGAGTAAACCATTTTTGCTATAGAATTACAACCATTGTTATCTCCTGACCACAAATGAATACCAGATGCTTACCGACTCCACTATCGAGTCGAATATTGTAGACAACGAGTGAAATATTTATTAAATTATTATATCTATCAAAACTTAATCTTGGAAATAAAGGCAAATTTAAGTTTAGGCTGGGGACCAATGAAGAAAACAAAACTAGGTACTTGTTATTTGAACTATTTCTTTTATTTGAAAATCTTGCAAGATGTTACAGAATACAAAAATATTTAACAAACATTGCAAGTATTTTAATAATAGTATCAGGTGTCGAAATTATTAAAACATAAATGAGACACTTAATTCAAAAAAAATTACCCAACATTTGAAAATCCTTGAAAAAAAAAACATATATTGCAAGAAGTTATTTTAATACTAGTGTATTAGGGTATAAATTATAAGAATTGAATAATATTTTGTTCAAATAAAATCTTCAGGACATTAAGAAATACAAAGAATATATAACATTTAATTCAAAGAAAACTACTTAGTATTAAAAAATCTTTAGGATACTAGACAGGTACGGAATTTTCAACACAGAAGGTATAACTTACAATGAGTTTAACAAAGTTTAATAGGAACATGCAGATAACAAAGGGAGACCACTGTCAGAAAGCATCGATATGGTTTCAACTTATGAACTTTCCTGTACATACATCGACACAGATTTAGATGCTACGAGTGACAGGAGTCTCTGCCTGATATGCGCAGGTTCCTAATTCAAATTGCTTTATTGTTGAAAAAATACATCTTATTGACAAAGACAGAAAACAAATATCGTCGGTCTAAAGCACACTTATCGTATCTCCAAAAACCCATTTTGTGACAATCGCAAATTTAAACTTCAGCGAGGTGTTATTGTAGTTTAGTGGGTGTTGGAGCAACAATATTTGTGCCCAAAAAAAGACGGCTAAAATGCGAATTGGTACCAAGATCGTTGTAACATTAAATTTGGAGTTACAATATGTGTGCTTTAGATCGACGATATATACATATTTAAAATTAAAAAAAAGTGTGTACATACATAATATAAATGTATATCGTACCTCAGATACAAACAACCAATTGCAACAATATTCATTAAAATTTATAGGTACGACAAACTTTGACAGAGTTTGAGAATATGATCTGTCTTAATAATATGAACATCAAATTACGTTCAGTCTAATAAAATTATACAATCATTAGATATTGAAAGATTTATATAATTGTTCTTCCAACTGGGTGTTAGTCAATTAAAATATAAAATTACAAAATATATAAAAATATTATAATTATTTGTATGCATTGTATTTAATTTAAAACTGGCTGAATGGCTAAGGATCTATATAATTTTTTTTATTATAAATAATTTATAGATATCAGGCGACTTTTATATATCAGGAATCAGTGGCGGTGTAGTCAGCCATTTTTCATGGGGGGAAGGGTTTTGAGAACTATGGGGGGGGGGTTCCATTAAGAAAGTTAATAAAAACAAATAGTCAATAGCGGTCAGCGAAAATGGTGACCCTCCATGGGGGGAGGGTTCTGACCCCCAAAGCCCCCCGTGGCTACGCCACTGTCAGGAATGATGAAGATTTGTAATTTTGTATTGTTAGATGTTTATTAAAAAATATGCTTGTATATGAAATAAATATGCATGTTTCTTAAACAAGTTCCTTTTGCACCAAACTTTATGATTTAAAAAAAAATATATTAAAATTTTCTTTTTTTTTATCAAATTGTTTTTTTTGTAGTTACGCGCAAAAGTCGCCAGATTTTCAAAAAATTCACCATATTTTTAAAAAATCCTGTTTTCTTGCTAAGCTCGTATTTTTTTCTATCTGGCGATTATCAACTTTTAAATTGAGACTTTCATATGTCACCTATTGGCAACACTGTCGCCCTGTTTACTGTTTATTTTTATTTATGAATATGATTCATTGGAAATTTCAGAAATTTGTAAATATTACCTACTATTCAGATTCAAGGACAGTAGTAGTTGGTTAAAAAAATAAGGAAAAACTTGGACATAACAGCTTTTTTGTAAAATTAAATAAGGTAGCAAAAAATCATAAACTCACTCAAAAAGTAAGTACAATTATTTTAAATAATTATAATGTATTTACAAAAAAGAAACATAGATTACCCATTATTATGAAATATTATACTCATCCATATCATTAGTTGTTAATTATTGATCTTTTAGGGGCATAATGACGGACTTTGCCACGAAATTCCACAACCTCGAAGGAGACTTGATACGCGACAGAAAGAAGAGCTTCTTCAAATTATTAAAAGAGACTGCTTTAAATTCCACCCAGTCTGATATAAACCAGGCAATTGAAAATCTTCGCCCAAAATCATACCAAGAAAAATTATTTTGGGTGGAAACATTAGTTTATTTCAAAAAAACTGCTCCCCTAATAGAGCTGCTTAAAGAAGGAAATAGAGAATATGTGAAGATAATCGTAAGGCAGAAATGGTTCATTGAAGATGCGTTTAAAGATATGAGTGCTTTAGAACTGGTTAATCAGTTCTTTCCATGTGTGTCTTATAGTACTAGACTGAAGTTATTAAGAAGAATTCCGAATTGTTGGAGTGAGGAGAAAGTAGACGAATTGTTTGATGCTGTACAGAAAAGGTTAGTAACTTAAAAATAAAATGCCTCCATTGTATTGTATATCAATATTATAAGTGGACTAAAAAAAAATATTCACATTTTGTAGACAGCTAAGAATAATACAAAATATTCAAAGCAAGAATGTCAAAATTCTAGCAATAGACAATCTTATTTGCTGGTTATCTTAAAAGTTATTGTTTGGTTGCTTGATTGATTATGTTTTATTATTCATCATCCTCTCCTGACACATATCATCCCATTATACCTTAGAACATAAAATAAAGACCATTCTAAGGATTATTCCATCCTGGCTGGCTATGAACAGCTGTAAATCCTGCCAAAACCAATTCAATACATCAACAAAATTGACACTTTCTGTATATTGGTTAACCAATTCAATTCAAAAAACTAAATGATATTTCAAACTCTATTTCAGTGTATTATTATAATGTGGGTGGTCTTCGAACAAAAATATTAAACTTTAGTCAAATGGCAATGTGTTCTGTATATGATGTTATAATAATTGTTGAAACATGGTTAAATGAAGATTTTAAAGATTCTGAATTACATTTGCATGACTTTGATATTTTTAGATTAGATAGGGACCTCGTGGGGAAGGGAAAGTCGAGAGGTGGTGGTATTTTAATAGCTGTCAAAAGTAAGTTGTCTGCGAAAGCAGTCACAGTAATTCCAAGTTCTATTGAACATCTTTACATTAATTAGATTATTAATAACCATTTGCCTCCTTTGTCTGGTGAGGAAAAATTTTTGGAACACATCAGCATCATAGAGAATATTTGTGATAGTTATAGGAACAGTAAGCTTATCATTTGTGGTGATTATAACTTGCCTAAAGCCACCTGGTCTAATAATGAATTTTGCTTGAAAGTAAATTGCCCTGATAATTCTAAAGCACTCATACTATCAAATGCTCTGGAATTCTATAATTTGTTTCAGATAAATACAATAGCAAACAACAGAAATGTCTATCTTGATCTTATATTTTCCAGTTTTAGCAATATAAAAGTTTCAGAAACTATAGATCCTATTTTTAATAATAGTATGCACCACACTGCTATTTCCTTTGATCTAAAACTAAAGGACTCCAAACTAACCTATGAGGAATATTTTCATGATTTCAAACTATATAGGATTAAATGATTACTTAGTCCAAGTAAACTGGGATTTACTATTAAATAATATAAATGTTAACGAGACTGTTGATCATTTTTACAGCATTCTTTATGAGGGTATAAATACATTTATTCCGGTCAAGAAATATAAACCATCAAATTTTCCACACTGGTTTAATTCAGAACTTAAGTATTTAATTACTGAAAAAAAGAAAATACATAAACTGTACAAATCTTCAGGTGACCTTAGATATTACTATCATTTTGCACATCTTCGGGAAGAGTGTTCAAGACTCAGAAATATTTTTTTTAATTATATTTTAAAATTGAGAACAGTATTTTCTCAAACCCAACTTTCTTTTGAAAACATGTCAATATTGGTTGTATAGATATTAAAAAAATTAGAAAAAATTGAAAATTTCGAAGAATAGGCCAACCTCCTTCCACCACCCCTTTTTTGGATATCATTTTCTAGGCTGTTAATGATTATTTTTGATATGGTTTATGACAGGGTGCAAGCTGAGGTCAGATACAGTAGTGCGATGCAATGGGGGTTATCCTCACCAACCCCACTTCTTTAGGAGCCTCAAAAGTAACCTCAAAATAAAAATTGTGTTTTATATCATATCAGTAATAGAGGTTTCTTAAATTGTGAGTTACTGTTAATTTATTATTTTCAATAATGATTATGGTCGAATTTTGAATACTAGTTAACTTAATACCTTTAGACCAAATTTAATAACCGTGTTTTGACCAAAGTTGTTTCCAAAGAGATTCTATGTTCAGTTAACCAGTTCTCTATATTGTGACCCATCTCTGATTCAATGGCATGCATCGCCCGTTCTGGCCGTTTCTCGAGCCTCAGCGGCATTCCTAGAAGATTCCGTCATTTCGAGCATGAGTCGGGTGGTCGCTTGCTTTAGACAGAGACGGCCTAGGAATTTTCATGACAATATCTGACAAATCATAAACATGGAATTTGCAGTAGTGACGGTTTGGTTTATTGAAGAGCAAAAAAAAGGAATATTGGAAATTTCGAAGCCAGAAATGTCCTGTATATTGAATTTAAGCGCTGCAACTACGGTAATAGAGTATCAGCATACAGAGATCGAAAAGGAGGAAGGAAAGAACCTACAAAAGAAGGACTGTCCTGTCTAAAGGAGGACTATATCAGCTTTTTTGGCAGTTGTTGGTGCTTTATTGACTACGGTACTGTGGTAGCTAGCATTATCCATACTAATACATAGAAGGTTCTTCTAAGTTTAATTAAAGCTGATATTCAAACAAAACAAAAATTTTCTCTATTCATTTCACCATGGTAATCACCATCCCGTGTTTTAGACAAAAATACCAACTCTGCTCCAGAAACAGATCCAGAAAAAATAAAGTGTTGCCAAAAATTAAACATATCAAAAATTTAACAATACGCCATCTCTAGGTAAATTAAAAAAACTGAAAAATTGTATTACCTATAAAGTAAATAAATTTCAATATAATGTGACGCGGGGCCGTCACTGTACTTTGTTTACTCCTTGCCCGCGGTATAAAGTCTAGCACTGACCATATAGAGACAAACGCACCGCTTCTCGAAACTGTCGGAATGATCGTGGTCCGACGTATGGGTCATATAGAGGGATTTCCCGAAGCTTTTAGGTAGTGATATGAGTTGGGTAAATACCCAGTGGGTAGGTAAATAAATTGTAGGTATTTACCCGGTTTTTTTTTTTCAAGAGATATTTACCTACCTAAATACATAACCTAAAACGATTTAATGTGTGTTGGTTATGTTATAATACATGGCAGTCGCGACAAGAATGTTATAATATATTATTTATCAATACTCATAGTCAATCTACAAAGCAAGTGATATTATTTGTTAATACTTAAAGTCAATCTTCACTATCATTATGGGTAGAAGGAGAAAAGTTGTCTAGCAATTTTACAACAAAAAAGAAAAAGCAGTGATGTGCAAATTTTGCAATAAACTGTTTGAATTTCCAAATGTGAATAAAATAGAAAAACACACATAGAAGTGTTTACACAATTCAGATATTATGAAACAAATGTTTTAATTTCAATAAATATTTTTCATACCAATTGTTTAAATTTAAAAGATATCGAGAAATTTACCCATTTTGGGTAAATATTTTTGGGTACTACTAGGTGTTCTGGTACAGAGCTGGTCTTATATAAATAGCCGCGACTTTATCGATAGGAGGAAAGATTCAATCAAAGTGATGGAAAGTAAAAAATTGTAATTTTTAAATAATACAGGGTGCTTTGTTGGAACAAAGTCAGCAGTGCATCGGTTTATTATTTTATTTCTGAAACAACTACTTATTCCACATTTTTAGGATCTTGAAATATTATAACAATTACCGAAAAAAAAAAAAATATATATATTTTTAAAAAATACAGGGTGATTTGATAGCTTTGAACGAATCTAGCCGAGCACCTCAGTTTTTTAAAGATTTTTTCTAAAAATAACCTATCTATATTTTTATACTCTTGTAATATTATAAAACTTTACTAAAAAATTGTTTTTCGAAACACTATTAGGAATGGGACTAAATATATTTAGCAAAAATAAGTTATATGCCTATTCTTTGGTTTTGGTAGACACTCTTAGCAATTGAACACATTGTTATGATTATGTTTTAGTATTCGTTCCGTGCGTGACAGCAGCGCCAATCATTTATGTATTAATGGACTATTTTTGCGTATACTGACAATACAATTTTTAATAGAATTCGTAATTAAAAAGTATATTTAGTTTTAATAAAAGTATATGTATTTGTAAAACATTAATTTATTATTATTATTATATATTTTTATCAATTAAACTAAAAAAAACTCTTTAATGAATTAACCTATTCTGTCAAAATAAAAAAATGCCATTAAATAATAGCGTGAAATTAAAATGTATGAACAAAAGGATTATTATTTACACTTTCATTTGTGTTCGAAAAAAAAACAGAATGAATGATTAAAACTGGTTTCCTATCAGTAAGTCACAAAATTGCATTCCAGCCACATACAAGAATCAAAGGCAGAAATCTAGTTCTTGCTGAACTTTTAAGATTAAAGGGATGTTGAAGAACATTGCAAAATGATAATTTATTGTTTATTTAAAACCTTTCAAGTTTCTAATGTTTACTGCTACCACTGATAAAAAAGTTTTCCACATGATTCCAACTTAAGTAGACACAGTATATGACAAGTACCTACTTCCAAAAAAAACGTCGAAAATATTTGGGGGAATAAAGAAAAGTAATTTATTTTTTTAAACGTAATTCTTAGATGTATCAATAATTTTATTGCATAAATTCATAACCGAAACCTATGATGTATTATTTCAACCATTATTTGGAAATTGGGGTAAATATACCTACCTATTTATAATAGATTATGCGGGTTCAGTGCCACTAACAGATTCTTACGATAAGTATTTATCCCTAATTAGACAGCTAAATATTTAATTCCCCATAAACGAGAAAAATGTTGCTAAACAATTAGTAAATTGCCTATCGATAGATATCTACAAATTTGCGGTGTTGCCAAATCTTTTCCACTAGCTAACTTAACTGAGAACATAAAATACAAGTATATTTGTGTATATTATTTTACTGAACGATTTTTGCGATTTAATGGACAAAATATGGAGGTTAAAGAGTGTAGCTATATCTACGTAGGAAAGGATTATCAAAAATTCAAATTTAAATCATGTTATCAAAAACCGGAAGTGCTGTGGCATCCTTAAGGTTTACGCTACTTTCTGGTACAGCTCTCATTAATATATGGTTGTTGTTTCTAGTTGTGGACGTATTTAATTACTTAACACATTCATTTACTTTAACGCATCAGATATACAGGGTGGGCCACTTAAAAGTTCCACCCCCCCTTATTTTCGTTATTCATTGAGATATCGGAATAATTTTTTTTTGTTTGAAAGACCGGAACAAATACTTTCTTATGACGAATACAATTATTCTGTGACGTCATGGCTTACTTCCGGTTTTTCTGGAAATAACAGAAAATCGCAATTTATTTTTTATTTTTAAATTGAAACCCACTTTTTTTATTGTAAATTTGAATTTCTGGGACATTTTTGTATAATAATCGTGTATTTAAAATTTTCTGGCAGCTGTCAAAATGGCCGCCATATTGGATAATATTTTTTCTAAACAAGTTACTATTAATGCGTTCATGGAAAAAAATATAGGGATGTATCTTTAATCTTTGAATCTTTAAATTTCCATTGAGACCCATTTACCGTATACCAGTGGCGTATCTGAGCATTTTCATTATTGCAAACCGTTTAATAATTCCATCCGCTTTTATCTTCGTTGTTAATTGAGATATCGGAATGAAAACTTTTTTGGTTAAAGTCTTATAACAAATACTTTCATATACTGGATCCAATCGGTCTGTGACGTCTTGGCTTACTTTCGATTTTTCCGGATATAACTGAAAATCGCAATTTATTTTTGATTTTAAAATCGAAACCCGTTTTTTATTGAAAAGTTGAATTTTTGGGACATTTTTGGATAAGAAGCTTGTATTGAAATATTTCTGTAAGCTGTCAAAATGACCGCCATATTGGATAATATTTTTTCTAAACATGTTACTATTAATTCGTTTATGGAAAAAAATATGGGATTGTATGATTTCTATAAAATCATTGTAACCTTTAAAATTCCTATTGAGACCCACTTACAGTACACCAGTGGCGTATCTAAGCATTTTTATTATTAGCAAACCGTTTTAACAATTCAATCCGCTTTTATCTTCGTTGTTAATTGAGATATTGAAACGAAAACTTTTTTGTTTAAAATCTTAAAACAATTACTATCATTTACTTGATTTAATTGGTCGGTTACATAATGGATTACTTCCAGCTATCAAAATGACCGTCATATTGGAGAATATTTTTTTTTAATATGTTGCTGTTAGTTCGTTTATGGAAAAAAATATGTTTATGTATAAAATCTTTGTAAGCTTCTTAGTTCCCATTGAGATCCATTTATAGTATACCGGTGGCGTATCTAAGATTTTTGTTATTTCTTAAATGTATCTGTCATCGAATTAAATTTATACGATTTCAGCGCTTGTAATCACTACATCAGTCAACTACTGATAAATCAAATAGTTATTTATACATATAATAATAAGTGTATAAAGAGGCCTTCAAAAAAGGGCTTTATATACGAAATGCATACAATATTTTTACTGCCGAACCAAGATTGGTTACTTTACTCATTAGTGCGTAAACTATTTTACTTTATGCACTAGCGCGTAAAGAAAATTTGAAATAAAATGTGTCATTTGTCATGTCAAAATACTAAAAATTGTATCTTGTTTACGCACTAGTGCGTAAAAAATTTTACTTTACGCACTAGTGAAAAAAGTAAAACTGCACTCCGTGGTGTGCATAACGTGCGTACTTTACGCACAGTAGTAGAAAAATAAATTATTACGACACGCAACATATCTTTAAATTTAAAAAATGTTTATTTTTATTTTAAATTTTAAAGTAGTTTAATTTTATCAGAAAGCTTTAAAAAATTAATATGATAATACAAAACCTACCATACAATAATAAAATAACATTGATACGCTTAAGAAATTAAAATTTTCAATAAAAAAGTAAGTTTCCATTTAAAAATAAAAAATAAATTGCGATTTACTGTTATTTTAGAAAAACCGGAAGAAAGTCATGACGTTACAGACCAGTTGAATGAAGTATTTGACAGTATTTATTCCAAGCTTTCAAACAAAAAAGTTTTTATTCCTATATCTCAATTAATAGAGAAGATAAGAGCGAGTGGAATTATTAAACGGTTTGCTAATAATAAAAATGCTTAGATACGCCACTGGTGTACTGTAAGTGAGTCTCAATAGAAATTTTGGAGCTTACAATGATTTTATAAAGATCATACATTCCCATATTTTTTTAATAGTAACATGTTTAGAACAAAAAATATTATCCAATATGGCGGCCATTTTGACAGCTGACAGAAAATTTTTAATATACGCTTTTTATCCAAAAATGTCCCAGAAATTCAAATTTTCAATAAAAGAGGGGTTTTGATTTTAAATTAAAAAATAAATGGCGATTTTCAGTTATATCCGGAAAAATCGAAAGTAAGCCATGACGTCACAGACTAATTGGATCTTGAAAGTATTTATTATGAGCTTTTAAACAAAAAAGTTTTTATTCCGATATCTTAATTAACAACGAAGATAAAAGAGGATGGAATTATTAAACGGTTTGCTTATAATAAAAATGCTTAAATACGCCACTGGTATACGGAAAATGGGTCTCAACGGGAATTTTGAAGCCCTCAAAGATTTTATAAACATCATACATTCCTAAATTTTTTTCCATAAACGAATTAATAGTAACATGTTTAGAAAAAATATTATCCAATATGGCGGCCATTTTGACAGCTGTCAGAAATAATTCAATACACGATTATTATACAAAAATGTCCCAGAAATTCAAATTTACAATAAAAAAAGTGGGTTTCAATTTAAAAATAAAAAATAAATTGCGATTTTCTGTTACTTCCGGAAAAACCGCAAGTAAACCGTGACGTCATAGACTAATAGAATCCTTCAAATAAAGTATTTGTTCCTCTCTTTTAAACAAAAAAAAAATTATTCCGATATCTCAATGAATAACGAAAATAAGGGGGGTGGAACTTTTAAGTGGCCCACCCTGTATTATCTCACATTTATGTATTTGATAGTGAAAGATATTATTTTTTCTTTGCTAGGTATGGTATCTACATCGCTTTGGATGTATTACACGTTTGCAGTACCTCCAAAATCAAGAGAATTCTCGAAGAGAACGAAATTTTATTACACGCACACCAAGTGATTCATATATTCAAGAAAAACGAAGATCTTTTTAAAATATATATCGATTACAGTGTTAATTTGTTTAAAAAACCGTACGATGAGAAAGGTGTACTAAATCTATTAGCTTATAAGAACCCTTCTCTCTTTTTACAATTGTTAAAATCCAATAAAATAGTTATCAAAAAATTACCGAAAACAGCTACCGCAGGAATCGTAAATATGGCCAAACAGGAAATACTGGAAGATCCTCAACATTATTATAAAATCTTAAATGCTCGGGCTCTCGTTTCGATGCTAAAAACGGATTTCGTTACATTTTACAGAACGTTTTTCCCGAAAAAGTTCCAAGAAATAACCTCAACCTGCTATTCTATTAAAATCCTCAAACATTTACCCAAAAACACAAGATGGCGAGCATTTTACGAAACATTTAAAATCAATTTTCCGCAAAAAAGTATCAGTGAACTGTTTATGGCGATCGATTCCACCATTCTCAAATTGAATCCTGGTAAAGAAATTGTAAAAACTTGGGCTGAAGTCAAATATAAAGCTACGAATGACGAAAACTTTCTGCAATACTACCAGACAGCGATTTCGATACCTATGTTGAAAGAAAAAATAAACGTCACTTCAGATAAAGTGAAACGACAGGCTATGTTGATGCTTCTCATCACTACTTGTGCAGAAAATAAAGACGTACAATCTCTAGAAGAAGTCATGCAGTACGTTGAGTCGAGGCACAAAAACGAGGATGCCTATACTTATAGAAAAATCATGGAATTCATTTGCAATACGTTTAATAATGGAGAACTAAGCAAGAAACATTGGGATTTCATCCGGCAACAAGTCATTTTAATTCGTACGAAAGGAACGATCAATTTTTACGATTACAGAAGTATCGTCGATCAACTTTTAGTGTATGGGTATAAGAATGACAAACAACTCTTCTACGTAGTAGCTAAAGAATACATCAAAGACGCAGCGGATTCAAGTTTATACTTCGGGGACTCCCTGCAAAATTCTGATTTGGATCGCGAAATCTTCCTGGAATTCTGCAAATTATTACCGGAGTTGTTATTGGAAGATCATAAATATTTCAAATCTACTATATCGAGTACTATAGAAGAATTTAACAAAATAGGCCAGTTACGACCTGAAGATCCTTTAAATTTACTTCAGTTTCCTTATTTGGTATCCGCCATAGAGGGAACCGTTAATAAAAACGTTTTTGATTACCATGAGGAACGTATCATCAAATTTGCGATATTGTATCATTTGAATGTTCCGAAATATTCTTTGCCGTTTTTGAACGCAACAAAAATATGTGAAGTTCTTAGTTCAGTCACTAAAGACCAGAATGGTGTTTACGGTGACGTAGTCAGGAGTATTGTAAAGAAAGAACGTTTTTCTGAAACCGAAAGAGTCATACTGATTCACTTTCTAGAAAGGCAAGACCTCGACAAAGTTGGTGATTGGATGATGGGGTATATAATTGATGATTTACTGTTACAACATCCCGCTTATCTAGCAAAATATTTCGATAGAATTTATTCAAGAGATTTAGCGTGTTTCGATAAGAAATGGATAAGGCACTATTCGCATTTAGGATTGAATAAAAAGATCTACGAATGTTTGTCTAAAGATTGGATGCAACAAGATCATCAGCTGCAATTAAATATTATGAATATAATTCAAAATTTGTTATCTGAAGAAGAATATATTGATTTTGTTGATCAACATTTTTCACCCGATAAGCATTTAGATGATTCTCATGATAATATCGTGATATTACAAATGCAGCAGTATATTGCTGGATTGTTGAAGAAAGCCAATACTGCAATTAAATATTTGCCGTTATTGTTGAAGTTTTGTAAAGAAGATCTTTTGAATTATACTTTACCTTCGTTATATAGTTTGTTTTCGAGATCACCGGAGAATAAGCTGCATCCTTTTATAAAAATATTATCCGAACGGGATATATTTATACGAAAACATGCCGTATTTTTATCCTGCGAATTTCTCGATTATAATTATGTTTTTAATTTGCTAAAATCTTCGGATTGCAGTCCTCATCCTTCTCGGAAATATTTATGTATGGCTGCTTTGAAGTATTTTGCAAAAAATTGTAGCGAGCAGCTGTTCATTTTAACTACAAAGTTCTTGGATATGATTAATAAAAGTCACAAAGAAATATTTTCAACTTTAGTTAGGATTAGAATTCCTAAAACTTATAGAGCTCGGTACATCGAAATTTGTTGGAAACTATTTGAAAACGTCGATGATGATAAAATAAACGTTAACAAACATTTTGATAGATTGTTAGAACAGAGTTTCGATGAAGATGTTTTAAAATCAATTTCTCCATTGTTCGTTAAAAATGTCATTAACCGTCACTTATTTATACAGGGTGAACATCGTTTAATAAACATTGATAAGTTTGCAGTGTTGTGTTTGGAATACAGATCTATAGAAAGACCAAATAACTTTGCTATGGTATTTGGAACGCTGTCAAAATCAAATAAGCGAATCATCAGTGGTTTCTGTACAGTATTTGTTAATTTTGTGTACAGTAATCCAGATTCAAAGTTCATAAATACTTATATCGAAAATTGGAACAAATATTTTTCCACGGTAGATGCTTTGGACGAGTATATAACGTTCAATCTTTTGCTGAAATATTCCAGTCATCCTTTAGAGGAATACGCTACAGCTGCAGTCGATTACTTGGAACAATTAATATACGAATTCGGGCCGCCAGTTTTTGATGTTTTCAAAGTAGGTTTCGAAAATCTGATGGGCAAAATGAAGAAAATAGATCAGTATAATTTGTTTTATTCAATGATAAATTATAAAACAACACCAGCTACTTGCGTACTTGTAATCCAACTTTTAACACCCATTAGCGATGAAGAAACTGAAGATTTGAAGTCTGTTTACGACAAAATTATCCAAATTCTCGAATCATCTAAAGAAGAAATTGTTAAATGCTGCTACGAAATTTATTTAAGAAAAAATGAAATTTAATTTTTTTAGAAACAGCACCATATAAAGTGCCTTTCTAATATATAAAGCCTGTTGTACTAATATTTTTCTAATTTTTATGTTTACATATATTTTTTTTAAAGATGTTTACTTCACTTATCTACCTCATTACAATTTAAAAATTGTTGAAATTATTTTGCTAATGTAATAAATACAAACTATTCCTGTTATTATGGAGTTTTATTTAACATTTAATTATCAAAAGACACGTAAAAAAAATTAAATAATTAATATTTTAAACAGATAAGGATCGAAGTTCTCATTTCTGATTTTAACCGATATGGCAACATCGCTATCTGTCAACTAAATGTACACTCCTCCGAGCAATTACTACTAGAAGGAGCATAAAACGAGTTTATAGGCGAATGTTGTGTTCGCAACATCTGCAGAGGAAGTGTGGAAGCGGACACAAGGGGGAAGGTAAATTCCCCTCTTGTTCAGTGGCGTAAAACTAAAAAATTCGCTAATTTTACTATTTTTTATTTATTTATTTATTTATTACAATGCTCTACAGGCAATCCCAATTACAGAGCAGGAATAAAAGAACACATACATTATATAGACTAAGTGGTACAAAATATACAAAAATTTGTAAACAGCTAGTAGGTAAAATACAATACAATTTTTTTTTTATGTTAGGAAATGACATTTTATTTCCCTGAGTTTGCATGAGAAGATATCAATGTCACTACTCACACTATTCACAACGCGGCTAATAGTATGAAATGGAGAATTTTTCAGAACATTTATGCGAGGTACAGATATGTGAAATATGTTAGAATTTCTAGAGGATACTCTCGGAATGCAGATATCAATTTTCCTCAACAGTTCAGGAGAATCAATTAAACCGTTAACAATTTTGAATCCTAACACATAACAATGGTATTCACGTCTTTTTATGAGGCTTAAAAAGTGATATCTTTGAAGAAGATTTTGGTTTGGTATTCCGATTGGCGGATAAACACCGTCCTCCTTTAAACACAGTAATTTTAGAAACCGCATTTGAACTGCTTCAATTCGATCCGTGTGAAGTTGGTAAAATGGACGACAGACGCATACTCAAGCTTTGATCTTATAAGAGAGTAATATAACGTTTTTAATGTGGCTACATCTTTGAAATCTCTGGTGCAGCGAGTTATAAAACCATACATACGATACGATTTTTCAATCATTTTATCTATGTGACATATAAAGGTCAATCCGGGATCAAAAATTACCCCAAGATCTGTAAAAGTATCTGGTCGCTGAAGTGAGACATTATCTATTAAATAATTATACTTTATTTGGTCGGTTTTTAAAGAAAAAGACATAACTTTACATTTAATTGGATTAAGTTCAAGTTTATTATTATTACACCATTCAACCACTAGATTTAAGTTCATGTGAAGTTGTTCACAGTCGCCAATACTTGTCACACGCTTGTATAATTTTAAATCATCTGCATACAGTAAAAACTGCTCTTTAATTACACTCGAAATATCATTGATGAAAATATTAAATAGTAACGGGCCCAGAATGGAACCCTGAGGAACTCCAGATGTTGCAAATTTGACAGACTTAAACCCATTAAGCTGTATGAACTGAGTACGATTTACTAGATAGCACTGAAAGAGATTTATCAAAGGAGGCGACAACCCAAACCCTGTAAATTTTCCAAGAAGAATACCGTGGTCAAGTCTGTCAAATGCCTTTGAGAAATCTGTGTAGATGACATCAGTCTGGGCGCGCTCATCAATGGATTCAGCAATGTATTGTGTGACGGTAACCAGGTTGGTGACTGTTGAGCGACCTTTCATAAACCCATGTTGATTGACTGATAGCATTTTACTAGCATAATGATATAAGGTTTTCTCCAATAAAATTTCAAATATTTTGGAGAAATTGCATATTATGGATATTGATCTATAATTGGTTATATCTCTTTTATCCCCCTTTTTTAAAACTGGACATACTTTTGAGGTCTTCCAAATATCTGGAACTGTTGATGTCTTGAGGCATTTATTTATGAGGGTGGCTAACGGAGGAGCAAGTTGAAAGGCACAATCCTTTAAAATAAAAGCTGAAATATGGTCTGGACCAGTTGTCTTTTTAGGTTTAATAGACTTTAGAGCTTCATATACCTCTTTTTAGGTAAAACAATTGACATTGAGTCGTGAATTTGAATTAGCAATAAACGGGCTAGAGGTAATATAACACTGTTTGAAGAAGTCAGCAAATCCATTGAGAATATCTAATGGAGTTTTTAGTGATTTGTTGTCATAAGACATTATTTGAATATTTTAAAATGTATACCGTCTTATATGTGCGTCTGATGCAGGAAATAAAACAAAATGTCTGTAAAAATCTAATTTTGTCAATTAAAGAACAAAACCTCAAAACTAATACACCAGTTTTATTATAAATAAATACAAGAGACTATTTTCGGCCTCACAGGGACATCTTCAGTCTTGTAATACAATAATCCTTAATTATTTTAATAGGAACGATATAAGACCAGGTTGGTCACTTACGATTATAATTAAAGAGTAAAAATCACAAAAATGGATCCATATTGTAGCATTACAATATTGTATAATTAAAGCTGTGAAAAAGGAAAAATAAAAGAGCGGTGCAAACTAAACTAAAAATAAGAAAAAAGGGTACGGAATCTACAAGAGATTAGAATGAGCAATTACGAATGCATTTAAATTGCTCGGGATAACAAATAAGGCTGATAATGCATCAAAGAAGGCCCGGATGCGTATTGTCATTGTTTACTATGCTGCAACGCATACATATTGTTGCAACGCAGTAAAGAATGTATGAACAGTCGTCTCTCTATACCTAGACAAATCTTACTGCAACTCAGCACTGGCAGGTGTTCAAACGTAGTAACTATTGTATTATGGATACGCTGCCATTCTCGAGGCATTGTTTACCGCATTCCAACTCAACATCGAGCGTTTTTATGCCGCTGACGCACCAGCTTGTACGAGCTTGAGTTGAATTTTGAATATTTGCATTATTGTCAGCAAGAGCAAGAATGTGAATATAAGAAATGACTTGCCAATTAGTGCAGAACAACAAAGCATAGTTGAAAAACAGGATAATTTTAATATCGAAATAATCAATACTGTCGAGGGTAACAATAATACAAACTTAGATAAAGAGCATTCGGCAGCTGCAACAGAACTATCAGAACATTTTAAACGCTTTAGTAAAATAGCATCCAAAAACAAAACGGTTGATATGACTAAATTTAATAAAACTCTAAAAAAAATTATGACGCCCTCTGACTTATTTAATTTTGTTCACATATCAAAAAATATCGCACTAAAAAGGAACATTTCTATACAGCCAACATCAGTTAGCCGCAGAAAAATTAGTGTGGTTTATCATGCGACGCAAAGCTGGAAGGCCATCCAAGAAAGAGATACCAAACAACCTTAAAAGACAAAGATCTTTAAAGGAAAATATTGATCTTAATAGATCAAATGCGAAATCACATGGAAATGCCCACTAGGATTAAACTTCGTATGCTTACCATTTTATATATTCAACAAATATCGAGTGTCATCTTACACTTTTATAATCAGGAAAGCCTTCCGGACATTTAAAAAAAATAATTACGAATTAAAACAATTTTGCAAACGAATGCGCCAATATATGCCCTGCACTATATTGTGTTTATTGTATTTTGATTTAGAATGGAAAATTAGGACCAAAACATAATTATAACTAGATTGTAGGTTCACTAACAAAATCTATTTTTATTTAGTCGACCTTCGTTGGTTATAAACTTTCAATAACAATGTATATGTTGATTTTATTAGATTTCTTAGTGCAACTGGTGACATAATGAATTTTTCGTAACTATAGAAGTAGATCATTTTGACACTTGCGATTAGAAAAATTTCACTTTATATGTCAAAATTAGAAAAATACATTTTGTCCACGACCACTTAATAATAAATCAATATTCTACCTCCTAACTAAAAGCATATAGTACCCATATATCACGGAGTGAATTATGATAATTCACGCTTTTGTAATTCTGGCACATTCCGGTAGATAACTAAAGATAGGCGATACTTTTCATAACGATATTTTCTAGATGGAAAAATCAAAAAATCGAAAATCGAAAATCAAAAATCGAAAAATTGAAAAGTGGAAAAAACAACAGTTAGTTACCTATGTTTAATAAAAACTTTCCATTCTACACTTAACTTTTATTTAATAAAGAAACCATAATGGTCGTGGACTCGCAATTTATGGCCATTATTTGCTCGTTTAATAATATACTATTAAAAACAAGTATTTGAGTTATGTTATTATTCTTATTTTTATAATTCGCGTTTTTTTTCTGAATAGTAATGTGTCAAAGTTAAATTGTAGGTCATAGGTACCCATTATTATTTGCGACATCTTGCCTACCAAAAATTAAAATTCTATTGATTGTTTATGGATATCTTTGTAACATCACAAGATAAAAACAGTAATTTTAAGACCCAACTCAATTTTGTTTGCGATATAATCTCGATTTTTTCTGTTAGAAAACTTGCATTATCAATTTTTTATTCGAAGTAATGTAAGACGTCATTTTAAATTTCTATCTCTTTATGTCCACAAGCATGTAACACAATAAATTTAATAAAACCTATGTTATTAATGAATATGTGGCGACAACTGACGGCAACACTGTCAGCTACTAGAGTACATACAGGTCCGGTATAAGCCATGTACATGGAAAATAATAATTAAAATGTTTTGTTTGAAAAATTATCAAAATTAAATATTTTTATTTTTAAGTAAACGACATTTTGAAATGTATACGTCTTTAATCAAAAATAATATAGGCTAATACTCAAGTGTATACGAGTGTACTGGACAAGAGATAATTTTACACTTTACTCGAGTTTTTTTGTAATAAACTCTCGATCATTGTAATGAAACCAGCGGTAAAATAGATATTTGTGTACCAAGGTTGTGTTTTGGCCGAATTAGACATTTGCTGCCGAGGTTAAGCGACTTCTGGTTAAGTATAAGACTAATAGGCAAGAAACGGATGTTCATTCAAGATGGACAT